ACACAGACAGATCCTGGACATGGGCTTCAAATGTCGTATTCCTCTTGTCAAGCCACTCCTGGACAACAAACAACGTCAGAAGCGTCTTACCTGGGCTACAAAAAAAAAGAACTGGTCTGTTGCCCAGTGGTCCAAAGTCCTCTTTTCTGATGAGAGCAACTTTTGCATCTCATTGTTCTATTTCCAATCCTTGTGTTATTGATGTCATGTAATATTCTAATTTTCTGAGATTGTGAATTTGGGGTTTTCATAAGCTGTACGCCATAATCATCACAATTATACCAAAGTAAGGCTTGACATATCTCGCTTTGCATGGTTCTATTTCCAATCCTTGTGTTATTGATGTCATGTAATATTCTAATTTTCTGAGATTGTGAATTTGGGGTTTTCATAAGCTGTACGCCATAATCATCACAATTATACCAAAGTAAGGCTTGACATATCTCGCTTTGCATGGTTCTATTTCCAATCCTTGTGTTATTGATGTCATGTAATATTCTAATTTTCTGAGATTGTGAATTTGGGGTTTTCATAAGCTGTACGCCATAATCATCACAATTATACCAAAGTAAGGCTTGACATATCTCGCTTTGCATGGTTCTATTTCCAATCCTTGTGTTATTGATGTCATGTAATATTCTAATTTTCTGAGATTGTGAATTTGGGGTTTTCATAAGCTGTACGCCATAATCATCACAATTATACCAAAGTAAGGCTTGACATATCTCGCTTTGCATGGTTCTATTTCCAATCCTTGTGTTATTGATGTCATGTAATATTCTAATTTTCTGAGATTGTGAATTTGGGGTTTTCATAAGCTGTACGCCATAATCATCACAATTATACCAAAGTAAGGCTTGACATATCTCGCTTTGCATGGTTCTATTTCCAATCCTTGTGTTATTGATGTCATGTAATATTCTAATTTTCTGAGATTGTGAATTTGGGGTTTTCATAAGCTGTACGCCATAATCATCACAATTATACCAAAGTAAGGCTTGACATATCTCGCTTTGCATGTAATGCGTCTATCTCATATATTGGTTTCACCTGTTGAGTTGCCGTACTGACATAAATGAACATTTGCACGATATTCTAATTTTTCGAGTTTCACCTGTATGCTCATGGGGGTGGTGGGAGCTGTGTTGGATTGTTGGATGCCAATACAGTAAAGCATCTGCAGAAAGCAGTCTGGTGTTAGTTTTTCATTCACGTATGAATCCACCTGATAAAAATATATAGAAACCTGAAAGTGTTTGTGTTGAGTATACAGCAATTTAAACCAGACTTACTATATCCAACTGCTCCTCCAGAACTCGTCATAGTAAAGAGATGGAAATTTCCAGGGCACCAACCTTTGGCCACCTGAAGTTACCCACTCCTGGCTTAAAGGATATGAGAGCTGTAGGTGGACATCTCATACCCTGCTTCCCAGCATATTGTCTGTTTGGTGGTGCCAGCCAGTAAGTAATAGGCAGCTTTGGATGGATGAACTACTAAAAGCAGCACAGAGCTGAATAGTGTCTGTAATATATACATGGGAATCGATCTGACATAGGTGGCTCTTCTTAGAAGCCATTTAATTCAGCTCTGGGGGAAAAAAACAGTGGGGAACAGCTAAAGAAGAAAGCTTGAGAAATGCATGACACCTGCATGAGCTGACTTGCTGCAGTGCCTGAACATCCTGTGTGTTGCAGTTGCATGACATGAGGTGGTTACTAATCCCTTCCCCCCTTTGTCCTCACTAGGTACCTGGTAAATCCCATCAGTAGGCCTGGAGTCAGAAATCCTCAGCTAATACCAATCTCTCTTTGGCTCTCCATGCGAGCCAGAGACAAATGGATGCCATCGCAAGTGCCGGCCTCAAGAGGAAGTTTGATGATGTGGATGTGGGCTCGCCCATTTCCAATTCCGACGATGAGATCTCCAACAGCGATAGTGCAGACAGCTGTGATAGCGTCAATCCTCCAAGCTCCTCAGGCTTCATTCGTAAGTGTTGGCATTAGAGGGGCCTTCCTGTCTGTAACACAGTACCACCACATTATTATCATTATTAATGAATTCTGACAATACTTCTAGGAGAATTTACCTGTTCCAACTGTTAGTCATTGAAGCCTTGCTTCATCAGGAGAGTCTTCAGTGATGTCACGCTTTTGCAAAAATGGGATGATTTCCAAGGTGAAGCAGCGGTAGTAGGTTTGGACTTCTAGGTAGCTGCTTCTGTGTTGCCAACCAAGAAAAACTTGTCAAAAGCAATCGAAAGACAGCTTGTAATTCCTTTCAGCCAACCTTCTTTGACCCAGATGCCCTCCAATAAGTTGGACTACAGTCTGATCAAAATTGATCATATAATGAATCTTTAGTTATCAGTGAGGCTGTTCAATCTGATGGAGTTAATAATTCTAATAAGAGAGTGTGTAGTATCCTTTTTCACAATCTGATTCTAGTAGAATATATATCCAGACTCCTATTGCTTTTTATAAATTGGGTATAAATTAGGTTTATTGGGTATAAATTATGTAAAGAGTTGCTATTGCTCTGGGATGCTCAGTGTAGAGTTGGTTAGTCCACAATACCTTGATTAGCAGAGCCATGCAACACTTAAGATTCAAGGCAGAAAAGTGCTCTGGGGTGAGCGGACGACGCGGTGAATGATCCACTCCCTTCCTCCAGTGGTCTCTGCTTATCCTTTGTGAGATGTGGAACAGAAGTTTCTGTCTAGCTCCCAGCCCTTAGGGAATGTCATCTGCAGGGATGTCAGAATCTGCCCTTTTCAGTCACTGTTCTTTTCTGGAGCAGTGTTCCCCTGATATCAGATGGGTGCCAACCCTATTAGCTTTTTGCAGGACCTGGATAATTTCAGCAAGTTTTGGGAGACTGAGGGAGTCACTTCATTCTCTCCTGATTGAATGCTTTTGGTGGGACCCAGGAGATGGGCATTTTCTGCCTTGGCACCTGCCCTGTGGAAGATGAGATTGGCCCCATCCTTGATATCCTTCCGGAAGGCCCTCAAAACATGGCTGTGTCAACAGGCTTGATGATCTCACAGAAATGGTGATATAATGAGATGGCTGCATTGTTTTTTAACATTAGTCTTTCTCTACTGTCTTACTATTATGTTGATTTTTTAAAGTTGTACTTGTTATAATATTTTTATTGTACTATTGTTTTTATTGTGCGCCACCTAGAATCACTTTTCTGTGAGATGGGCGGTTATATAAATATAATAAATAAATGCTTTCATGGTTTTTCCTCAATGCAGGATGTTGTTATGTTGGTTACATGTTTATGTTTAGCTTTTAACCTTATTACTGTTCTGGATCTCTGTAAGCTGCTCAGAGTCAGACATGATTAGAATAGTGTAGAAGCCTAGTAAAATAAATTCCCTAAGGCAGCTGCCTTTTCCTAGGATCACATGTCTACCCTCGTGTTCTGCATAGCCATATTGATTACCCTCTTTTGTCCACTCTTGGAGCATTAAGTGTTATAAGAAATTAATCAAGCTATTTGTTCCAGGACTTTAGTCTTACTGCTTTAGTCAGTAGAATAGCTGATAGTTCAAATAGCTTACATTCTCTCCTTATGATTGTTACTCAGATAGGCTTGCCTGTTTTTTTAACTTCATTGCTGGTTACGATTGGGGAAGGAGGTTGGATGTAAGGGATGATTTGCTGGATGAGGATAAGGACCTGACTCGACAAAACATTGCCATGCCTGTTGTTTTACACTGTTAGTGGCATTTGAAAATCTATTGTGGTGCTGCACTGGTTCTACAAAGCCTAAAGATTTCTCAGTATTTCCCAGATTTCTGGAAAGACAGCTTGCCTGTCACTACTAATACGCCTCTGCAGTACATAGCCAGAATTTTAAATAGGTTAGAGACTGCACTTTTGGTCATTCAGAGCTACAGTAAAACCCTGCAAGCTCGGCCAGTGCTCTTCATATCCTGGAACATGCTCAGAATTCTGTCCGGTGCTTAGGGATTAAGTGGCGGGTATGTCAGTGCAGAAAATTTTGAAAGCTGCTGTGGTGGAAGACACATTCTACAAACAACAGTTTGTTATGGGTGCTCTGTAACAATGAAGGAAGTATTAAATGGGGTGTATGAAGGGAGACCCATCCTTCCTTCCATGTTCAACCAGTGTTTTTGTTTTGCTTTCTTGCATCTCAGCAACCTCCATCTTAAAAAGGCAGAAACAGTTGCGTAGAAAGAATGTGCGCTTCGACCAGGTGACTGTGTACTACTTTGCAAGGCGTCAGGGATTTACCAGCGTTCCTAGCCAAGGGGGCAGTTCCCTGGGCATGGCCCAGCGCCACAACTCTGTCCGCAGGTATACCCTTGGTGAATTTGCCCAAGAACAGGAAGTGAATCACCGTGAGATCCTTCGAGAACACCTGAAGGAAGAGAAGCTTCATGCCAAGAAAATGAAGGTAGGGTTTTGGCAGGCAGAAAAGTCCCTTTCGGTCATTCATTTGCAGTTTTTGGTGCTGTAGCTTGGCCATATTTTGCCACATATGCAGCTAATATAGCAAAGTGACTGGGGAATTGACTTTGAATGCCTGTAGTCATTTTCCCAATCTGTAATGATTAATCCATATCAGGCCTACCTATGGGAAGTAGCAGAGAAGGCCTAGGTGATCATATGTTCTTTTGGGCATGTGCTGGGCTCTTATCTGTCTGTTATGCTATGCGGTAAGATGATAGGAAATAGCATTCTAAATATGCACTTCTGATTATTTTTCATTTTTATTTTCTTTCCTGGTGAATCCATTATGTTAATTCTGCACCCCAAACTGAAGCCGATTTTTCCCTATTTCCCTGTATTTCATAGAATACATACACCCCTACGTCTGTATTGGAGTATGAGAAATGCAGTTGGTAATGTGAAAATAAGCATTCAAGAATTTATTCCTGAAGTGAACGAATGTGAACTTGATAAGAGCTTTCCCCCTGGGGCTTGGTGAGGAAGGGTCAGAGATGAGCTTCCTGAGGAAAGCTAAAGGATTCCCCACCATCCAGTAGTGGAGGGGCCCGCGCAGCCAAGAGACAAGTATTGCTAGTGATTCCAACCGGTTTTCTAGCCTCTGGTTTCTGTCAAGTTGATTCATGAGAAGACTCAGCAATTGCAGTGAAAGCCTCTCCCTTTTAGCCTCCTCCAGCAAGCTTCCTATTCCATCCTTCTCTTTATCATGCCTTCTGGCTGTCTGGTCGGTGTGTCCTGTAGGTTGCCTAGCAACTGGGTTTCCCTTACTGGATTGAATGCTTCTGTCAAAAAACGTAGAATTTCCAATCATTCTCTTGCTACCATGACAACCAGCTCAGCAAAAAGGACAAATACTCACTCTGTAGTCCTGCAACTGTGGCCTACTTCTTTTAGTTGGTGAAGGAAACCTGTTTCTGAACTGCACTGCTTCAAGGTCCAGGTTTGCCCTTATACAATCCATGCTTGTTCATGCATAGGCCACCTTCTCCAGAAGCAGTAATCCTTGAATGTTGTGAACGTGCACGCCAGAGAGAAGGATCTAGGTTGTGACTTGCTAGCTTTCTGTGGTGGGTGTTTTGGGTGTGTTTTTAGTTGTATGAATGAGCACCTGTCCTGGATACCCCCCCAACCCACCCCTCTTGTAGTCTGAGGTGGAGTATTTCTGAAAACAAGCATAGCATCATCTGGGAAGCTGTTGTCATGCTGTGCTTCCTCCAGTCTCTGTGGTTGTAAAACTAGAGTATTTGGTTAGAAGAGATCATTGGGGTAGCACCAAAACAGTTGAGAAACACTTGAGTCTAATCACAGCAAACAAGCATCCCACCCCCTGCCTCACAAAGACATTCCAAAAAAGTAGTTGCAGGTTTGGTAATGACAATACCAGTATGGTAATCCTGAACCCTTCACATATTGTGTGAAGTGCTTTTCTCCCAAACATGAGTGTTTTGTATATTCCATGTACAACCTGGCATTCTGAGAATCGCATTTTTTCCCCACCATAGTCTCTTGGTGGCACAGAAATGCTGAGGATCCTATCAGCTATATTTTGAAAGCTTCAGTTCAATATTTGTCACGCAATTCCTTGTCATTTTTAATGGCAATTCTCCTTTCCCACATATCTGGGTCCTTATTCACCCACCTTCCAAAGCTTGTTATCTGATAACAATCTATGTCATCTTTTTCCCCATGCTGCCGTGTCTCTGCCAAAAAAACCTTATACAGGTCTTCTCCACTCCAAAGTTTGGAATGAAACAAATTTGTACTCTGTACAGCAGAAATGAGTTTCTTGGTATGAGGCACAAATCAACCAAGTGTACTTTCTGCTTTGCCCCTGAGGACAGGTGTGTCTGCCAATAGAAAGATTACAGTGCTTTCCACGTGGCCAGTAATGCAAATTGTCATGTCTGTCATCCATTTGGTGTAAGAAGCACCAAGCTGTGAGTGTGTTTAGTGTCTCAGCAAGGTTATGATGTAATGATTGGATCAAGGTCACCCTCAGACCTAGCAGGGTCCTAGAATTCCCAAATCCAAGCTCCAGCTGTCACACTGACTACTTCCCTCTGACCATGAAGGAGACAGGATTGTGCTCAAGCAGAGAGCTTAGCTCTAACTTCAGTCCTCAGCTGGGTTGCATCATGTCTCTGAGGAATGGTCCTCTGTAATACCATGGCTAGTCTGATGAAATAGCTTCTCCTTGCTTTGTTTTTGCCATCAGTGATATTTGAGGATGGCTGTAACAACATACCCAGATTTGAAGGAGACCACCTGGCTTATTGTGCTCAGCCTCATATAGCTGAAAGTGAGGGGCTGTGTCCTCTGACAGAACTTATTAAATGATTTTTTTAGAGCAGTAGATTGCGTATCAGCCTCAAAACTATGTATGCATTGTTCCTAGGAAGAAGTGTGTAGCTCATGATTTTAAAAAATACTTTGTTTTCTACCACTTCTGAAAGACTCTTGGTTCTGCACTCGGTAATATTATAACCACCCTTTTCTTTTTGTCTTGTCTGTATTACTATGCCTATTACCTGTAGGGAGAAGTACATGAATTTAGCAAATACACAAATGGTAGCAAATTCTGGCTGAAAATGCATTTGGGGAAAAGTGGGATCTTGTTAGGGACAGAGTGGAAAATCCTGATCTGAAAGGCCTATTTACCTCATGCTCGTGTGGATGGGAGTGTCATGTGATATCATCCATCAGCCTTGCCCTCTTGATTACTGCCTCCAATCTGGACAGATTAAAAGATGCAAATACCTGCTTCCATGTTGCCCATGGTTCAGATTTTTTTGGTTTCCCACTTAAAAGGACACTGTATTTTTTTCCCCTTGCTTCTTAATATTCTGCTAAGTGCAGTGTATATTTATTTCACTGTGTAAATAACTTAACATCATAACACAAAGTTTAAAGGCTGATAAACATAGAGTCAAGTGAAATATTTAAAGCATCTTGGTCTACACTGATGAGAAAGGTTTCTTCATGGTTTTAGATGCCACTATCTAGAAATATCAAATTTGAACCTGGGATTTTTGCTTGAAAAATATACTACATACATTTGTATGTGTATCTCCTCTGAGTCTTAGAAGAAATGAGATCTACAGGGCTGTATGGAGGTAACCATTGACCTCAGTGTTTTGAAATATCCCATCCCAAATAACCTGAATGATATACATACCTCCCTCTGATATAATTCTGTTTGAAGGTGCAGATTTTAAGGGCTGATAGTTTGGATAAAGGTTAAAAAGGGTGGGTATGGAGCTGGGGAATTTATGAATGACTGTGCAAAGAGCTAAACTACCATCCCTTAATTGATCATGATCTGCCCGCACAAGCCAACAGCTGGTTTGATCAAACAAAAGCCCATAATGTCTTCTAACAAGGCTATGGCTTGTGTGCAAAGCTGGATCACTGTCAGAATTTGTCCCCATTCGCCCTGGACAAGCTGGCTGTTGGGTTGTGCAAGCAAAGGAGAATTGAAAGCCCAGAACATGGTCTAACTGTGCTCTGGCCTGTGCATATAAAGCTGGATCACTGGTAGAACTTGTTCCCTCTCTGTCCGGACAAGATAAAAGACAGCTTGTTCAGGCAGAGCAGAAGCAAGTTTTGGTAATACTCCAGCTTTGACAGTGCAGAAAGCTGGATCATTGTCAGAACACAGCCCAGGAGGAGTCATTATTTGAGGGAAATGGGTGACAATTACTGTTCGGTTAAACCCAGGGAAATCATTTGTCTTTTTTTTTTCAGACTGCAAAGCTGATGGGATTTCAGTTTCAAGATTAACTTTGCTGGTGTCTGTGTCTATGTGTTCTCTGTTCTTTCCCACACCCTACCCTAAGCTGACCAAGAATGGGACTGTGGAGTCAGAAGAGGCTGATGGTTTGACGCTTGAGGATGTCTCTGATGATGACCTTGATGTAGAGAATGTGGAGGTGGATGACTACTTCTTCTTACAGCCACTGCCTACCAAGCGGCGGCGAGCTTTACTTCGAGCCTCTGGCGTTCATCGCATTGATGCAGAGGAAAAACAAGAACTTCGGGCCATCCGCCTCTCCCGAGAAGAATGTGGGTGTGACTGCCGGCTGTACTGTGATCCGGAGGCCTGTGCCTGTAGCCAGGCTGGAATTAAATGCCAGGTCAGTGGGGAAACCGCTAGGCTTTGGCCTGAACTATATCTCCTGTTGCCTGTGTGTCTTTTTGATATAGAGAGGTGTCTTCTCAAGGCCTACTTATGTGTTGAGTCTGAGCTTAGAAGAGGCGATTTAAAGAGAACTGCTATCTGCCCACCTAGAAAGGTCTTATGGGGTGATAGAATATATTGTCGCCTTAGTTGCTCCAAGGCTGAAGTTAAAAAAGAAGTGAATAATTCAGGAGGGAAGATCCTGCTTGGGTTTGTGGAGAAAGACAAATGGCAAGATGTAGCCAGTCTCTGGGATGGGGAGCTAAAAGGATGAGAAGTTCCTTGGGAAATAGCACTAGCTTTCCAGGGTGGTGTGGAGTCACAGTGGTTATGTGTGTGGATCCACTGTTCTTCTGCTTCCCTCTGTTGGCTGCTATGTGAAATGAATGCGTGAAAGAATCTGCTCAAATGTTAACGTAAATTCTGCAGCATTTGTGCAATTTTAATCACGTTTGCATAGTATTTAATTTACAGTATTACACTTCTTAGTCAAAAGGAAGAGACAAAAGGCTGTTCAGAATCCAGAAGTCTTGACCCCAGGAGATCTTAGTTGCTTCTTTTCTGATTCCCAACATCCAAGATGCTGGGTAATTTCTCCAGAACCATATTTCATGCTCTGCACTGTTCTCATCTATAGCATTTTGCTTTTCCTGTGGAATGTGTGCATTGGTATTTCTGCTCTTAATATTTTCTTGGCAAAGTAATTCTCTCTTTCTCTCTCTTTCCCACAATATCTTTTGCATACTAAATGTGTAGCTCTGGCAAAGGATTTCAGGTCCTCTTTTCTGAAAGCGCTTTTATCCTGAAAGAGCATTTGATTGCTTGACAAATAAAGTGTCACAGAGCGCATTTTTTCTTTCACAATAGATAGAATCAGACGTACTCCAGGCCATTCTTTATTTCTTTTGATTCTCCTTGGAATATAAGATTTAGAGGTAGGTTAACTAGGGGAATGTCCATGGGAATTGACTGGGGGGATTCTGGGTTGCTTGAGGGCTACCTAGCCAGTTGCTTTTCAATAACCACTTGCATGGATTTTCCATTTTCCATCTGACTTGATTTTCCATCTGTTCACTTGCTCTCACTTTGGCCAGGCTTTCATCCTTCCAGTCACTTCCTCAGTTCTCATACTAGGCACAGTTTCACTGTCCCTCACTTCCCCCACCTAGGTGGACCGAATGTCCTTCCCATGCGGCTGTTCCAGAGATGGCTGTGGGAATATGGCTGGGAGAATTGAATTCAATCCCATCCGGGTGAGGACTCACTACCTGCACACCATTATGAAACTAGAGCTAGAGAATAAACGGCAGGTGAGCCGGGCCCAGGTTCTGGATGAAGAGACCCCTCATAGCTCCGGCAGTGACTGGCTGGGAAGCCAGTCCCCAGAGACACAGGACTTCCAGGAGTTCATGGCGGAGAATGAAACGGCAGTCATGCATCTTCAGACAGCTGAGGAGTTGGAGCGGCTGAAGGCTGAGGAAGACTCTAGCAGTGGCTCCAGAATTGAAAGCCTTGGGGTGTGCATTTTGGAGGAGCCGCTTTCTGTCTCTGAAGGGATGTGCCCAAGCCTCACCACACCAATCCTCATTCAAGCTCAGCTGCCTCCAGGTTCCTCTGTTCTGTGTTTCACGGACAGTTCTGAGCAAGCCAGCTCAGCTGAGGGCGACCAGCCCTACTTGAACAATGGGCCTGTTGTGTACTATCAGGTTGACCAAAGGTCAGTGCTGGGGGTGAAGGGGGAAAGTAGAGCAGAGGAGCCTGAGGTGCCCCCTCGTTACCCAGATGAGAAGGAGCTAAGCATCTACTCTGTCCCCGTGACTTCACTGGTGTCTTGTGGCAGAGCCACAGCCACCAGCAGTGCAGAAACAGGGAAGGCTGCTGTATCTTTTGAGCCCCTGTCTTCTGAAAGCTGTCAGTCTGAAGTTCCTCTGCCAAGCTTGCCACTCCACACAGACGTGCCACAAGACAGTTTGCGGCCCCAGAACATGGTGCAGCAATCTCCAGAGAGAGCCTGTGAGCTCCCCTCCTCTTCTGAGGAATGCTCTTTGGGACCTGCTCTGACCGTGTGACAATTCCCAACCCATCATCTTGATGTTTATTTATTGACAATGTTTTTATCAAATGGCCACAGCCATTGGGAATTGTTTAATATTGGGTGGGGGAGGGAGAGGAGAGGGACTGCTTTGTGTGGGCTCCACCACACAAGGAACTAAAACAAGCACTTATGGCTGCCTCAGAGTAGGAGGATCTGTCTACTAGCTGGGCAGCCTCTTGGTTCTGAAGAGGTTGGACCCATAGACAATGGACCCATCTACATGGAACTTTGTAGGGGAGGCACTTTACTCCATCCTACAAGGACCAAATGTGAATGTGTCTCATGGAAGCAATAGAGCAAAGCTGCCTTTTCTAAAGCGCTGGATGGGTTGGAGGGCAGACAGAAGAGAACACTGTTGCTGCTTCATGACATCGGTCAGTCTCTGTGCGTGGTGGAATCTCTCCCTCCAGTTGCTCATCCCAAGTGAAGCTGCTGCTGCCGCCGCCACCCATCCCCTTCTGTCACTTTCAGTGCTGTGTCTTGGTAACGGTGACCTTACTTGCTTGAACTGCTCTAACCAGTTACACAGCTTAAGCTCTGCAACCTCTTATTTATGTGACATTTACTGCCCTTCATTCCCTGGAAGAATCCCATATATTTTTTAAATTCACTATGAATTAACTTTGATCATGACTAGCTACACCTACAGTTTGGCATGCAACTGTCGTACAAAATGATTTTCATCCTGGAGCCTCTGCCCCCACCAGTAGCTTCATCCAAACACATTCATGGCCCATTTTGCTGGCCTTTGCTGGGACTGATTAAGTTTAAATTACTTTCTTTTTTTTTTTAAATGCTGAATGTTTACGGACATCATGTGACTCATGCTCTGTCACTGACTCTGTTCCTGAGCTGAGGTTGTCACCTCCGATTAGAACCCCTTTGGGGATCTGGTTCTGTGAGCACTGAATGCCCTAGGATTGAGTGGGATCTACCTTCCTTTTGAAAGAACTGCCAGTTTGGGTGGGCAGGGGATTCTACCAAGTACTTAACCTTTTGCCCCATGGTTTCATTAATCACTTTTCGCCTTCACTATTCCAGTCTTTTCCATTCTAGTTGCACAAGAATTTGGAGATGATGCTGAAAGCTTTCTGTTCCCCTGCTCCTTGCTTAGCAACCCAGCATTCTGGATGACTTGAAAGGGCACCAGGTCTGTATGCAGTAGAACTGCAGCCTGCTGGGTCACAAGCATTAGGGATCAGTAAATGTGCAATAAGGTGGCACCTGCAATCCCCCTCCCGGGGAAGTGTGTAGTTAATTGTTCCAATTGGTCTTGGAATAAAAGGAGAAAGGATATCCTTATAGCTGCCACTCACCCCTATGACCACTTTCCTCACTATAGGATAACAAAAGCACTTTTCTTCTCCAGCCTCCTGGGCATCCTTTCCTTCTTCTATCTTGTGGTAAACAGCAGATAATCATTGCCTTTCTCTGTAGTCACCTGTTCTGACCCAGCTCACGTTACATCCCTGCGGTGTATCTCAAAATGGACCGGGGCTTAGCAAGAACTGATTTCCCTGTATTTAGGAATCTTTCTTTTTTCAGACTGCTCAAGGCCTACAATGACTTGCATGAAGGCTTCTGGATATTTAAATTATCCATAACTCCTTATGCATAAGAGAAGGTGGAATTTAAGTAGCCTGTGGAGGGATATATGTCCTCATCAAAACCTGCCTCCCAGCTGAGAGTTAACGCAGGCACCATCAGAACCTAGATAGGAGGTTGTTTTTTTTTCAGGCATATAACTAGATTTGTGTGGAAGCTGAGCCATCTAAGTTTCTAGATGCTAAGTCCGGAAATGAGATTAACAGGCTTGGACGTCTTATGTCCCTTAGTTGCAAAGCTACTTTGGAGTAGCCAAGCCTAACTTAACTAAGCCTTCCAAATGATCAGTGGTAAGCAATCAGTGCTGCCAGTGCATCTAGAAAAGCTGATCCTCCTGAAAATGACTCTCTGTAAGATGGAGTAGGTACAAGCGAATGCTGTGTAAGCGACAGCAGAGAAAAACTGACCATAGCTATTGACATGAACTCCTGTTAAGGCTTCAGAATATTGCGAAGACTTGAGTACTAAAATCCTGATTTTCACTTTATTTCACCCAAGCTCTCCTTGGGCTGATTAGCATATAGTATACAGCTGGGGCTCCTTTACTTTGCCAAACTGGTAAGTACCTAATTGCTTTCTCATCCCCACCTCTTACAGAGGGTTGTTTAGAAGCAATGCTATGTTCAATGGGCAAATGTCTGTTTTAAAATGTAAGAGGATGAACGTGCAGCCTTAAAATGTCCATAGCCCTTTTTCTGTCTTTAAAAAGCCACGCATATGTTGCTGCATGACATACGCTTTCCTTCCTATATGCTGGTCTCATTCCTGAGGGCTGTTTAGGCTTTTACTCCATGCTGCTTTGCCCCCAGGCTACTGTTGGGTTTGAGGGTCCACTGGTGTCTTTAGGAGGGATCCTTCCCAAATCTCACTTGTAGTTTACAGAACAAATGGTGCTATAAAAAGCTGGATTTATTTTCAAAGGCAGCCAGTCCTGGCTGCGACACTCACTGTAGCAAATTTGTCTGGTGCACTTCACTTCTGAATCAAACAGAATAGGGATGTGCCACTTCTAGAGCAATTTGCTCCTACATCAAGTACATAGCTTGGTAGGTATATAGCTTAAGGAGAAGGCAGTTAAAATCTCTCATAAAATTCTCAAGACCGGAAAGCACTTTGGATATTTATAATAATAACGTCCCCATAGTTGCTTGCTTTTCTACACAGCTACAGTGAAAACAGCACTGTGCAGCTGTTATTAGCACAGGTTTGTTTCAGGACAAGATGCACTTGTATTTTTCCTATATTACTCCTACGCTGTTCCAGCCCTGAATATGTAGCCCTGAATTAGGAACCATTGTGCTGTAGATATGCTCTACAGTATGGCTAAAGCCAGAGGCTTTGCTGCTTTTAACTGTATGGTGTTATTCTGGGGATTGGGCGTGATCAGCCCTAAAATCAAGTTTTAAATGGGGCTTACCTCAATTCTTGCAGATCTGACAGTACAAGAATCTCCTGTTGAGTGCTTAAGCTGTTGCACCCTTTGGCCACATGCCAATACTGACAGATGGTTTGGTGGAATACACTTTCTGAAAATGGAAGCAGCTTCACACTTAAATACCAGAATTCCATTTTGATAATGCAGAAACAGTTCTCATGACTGACATTCCAGGATGCAACGATTATTGTAATAGCTTGGTAGAAACCGAACACTAAAAACTGCATTCTCACCCAGAGGTGTAGCTAACTGGGAAAAAAACAAACTCACATAGCATCTGAACTGTTAAATGTTACACTGGCTTTATGCCATCATTTCCATGAGAACCAGCAACATCTGGTGGTCTTTTGTGCCCATGATCTTGGCAATGTGGGCACGGAGGGATAAAGCAATGCTTAGCTATGACAAAAAAAAACAATAAATAGGTATTTGTAGGGAAAATGGCTAAAAAAACACTCCTTCCTGAGCAGTATGAAAAAATTAAGAATGGGCATTGATCTCAAACGACAGAATTTGATTTCTAAATCCTGTACTAGAGATTGGACTTCTTAGAAAGCTTTTGTTTGAAGAATGTTCTTTAATGCAAAAAGGCATATTCTCTTGTCTGTCTCCCTTTTGTTATTAATAACAAAACTATTTTTCTTACTCTGATGTGGTGGTACATTCACCTGTTTTCCCTCCCCTTCCCTTCTTTTGGTGCTACTGAACTGTTTACAGGACAGCCCTTTTACTACCTGGAAGAGACGTCTATTAACTAAGCCCTGGTCTGACATAATTGGTACCAGCCCTGTCCTCTGTCACTTGCAACTGGTAACTTCATAGCTCTGCTTTCCTGCAGGAAATACACAGGTGGCATTTTCAATGTGAATCCAAAGCTTGTCAGGTCCTTTACATTTTGTTTTGCCTTTTATGTTCTTTTCATTGTGATAATGCTGTATTTAAAGAGGATATTTAAATGTAAAAACAAATAAATGCGTAAACTTACATCGAGTGGATTTTGTCCTCAAAATTGTAGTTACCTTATATTCAGTTACAGACCCAGTGTACGTGCACATGTTCTGGTATCTAAGCATGCTCCTTCCCTTTCGCAAGTAATTAACACTTGCATAGTCAGCACTTGTAAAACTATAGCATCTGCCTAAAGAAAGTCAGAGTATATGCGATGTATCCTCCACGCAGTGGGGAGATCCTGCACTGGGTCATTGTAGATATTACCTTCTCAGGTAGTTTTTGCAGTTTAGCCATTTGGCTTAACTTTGATTTGTAACAAGTCTATCAATTTACCTCATAGTGAAACCTTATGGAAAAATCTTTTCACACATCAAGGGCTTATTCCCTTGTATAGATTTTATTTTAAAAAGACTGATCCTACTACTTGGAGTAAGGTATACACAATGAAGACCTGGATCATGAATTTAGTGGTCATTGGTTACTTTATGGGGGAACAACTATTCATAGCTTTGGTGTTTCCAGTAATGTATTAGTCAAGCTCAGATACTCAAGGGGAGTCATAATGGTGACATGTTAACAGAATGACTTCGAAACTCCACACTTAAAAAATGATGCATTTTTTTTATGTTAGCCAGCTTGCCATCTTTAATGGTAAACATTCATTTTTCAAGTAAAATACATTTAATACACACATTTCTCACACATTTTATGATTTGCTCAAATACAGACGTCCTCAAGTTACATTCTGTCCAGAATTCCAGCTTCTGGTATACTACATGCAATCTAATTTCTTCCCCCACTAAAGGATTTTTAAAGTCTGCTACACTTCATAATAAAAAAAATCCTGCAATCTTCAGGTTCTTGGGAGACCACAGAATAGATTGGGTCTTCTCTTTTGACAGCAGTGAACGGCGGTATCTCAGCTGCCCCCCTCCCAATCCTTTGCTGCCTTGGGTTACCACTACACCTGCAAAATCAGCATCAGAAAGGAGAAAAGTGGGGGTGGGGTTGTGATTCAGTTAGATGAAGAGAAGCTTCAGCTTCAAGACTGGCCTCCTAACCTCCTTTCCAACTGATTCCCTCTCACAATTGCAACTTGAGAGTAATACAATCCCTGAAACATCTCAGAGAAGGGGGATGGAAGAAACAACTGGCATAAGACATATGGATCTCTCCCCTCTTAGCTGGCAAGATTGAAAGCATAGAAACTGATATATGATTTTGACAATGTACATTTAGCAAATAAGCCACGTTGTACTAATGTGTATTCTGCAATTTTTTTCTTTTTATTCTGCACTGCTCCCTGGCCAATATGAAACAAACTTTATTCCAGCACCTTGAGGGAGTAGATGTGTCTTTCCAGCAGAAGAGTTTGCCACAAGCACTAGCAAGATTTTGGACTGACAAGTATAAGTCTGAACAGTGACAATCCAAGAAAGGGCCTACAAGGTCATAACTGAACCAGACTTAAGTAGAAAGTTTGTGAAACCTACTGCAGAGGCATTTTGTTGTATCTTGGCAATTCTCTTCTCAGAACAGTCAGTGGGAGAATGTTATTCATACTGCAATGTTTCCTCTACTTTCACCTCAACACTAACAAATCATTACAGTTTCTTCTCCTGCTGGATTCTTGCCTTTTTCCCTCCTTTTTTGAGTCAATGAAAAAACTCTCTTCCCCTTGCTGGTTCAGCCAACAGTCAATATGCAGTATACATACAATAGTCCAGAAGGGGCTGTTTCCAGTTAGCTCTTGGAGGAAAGAGTGAAGTTGGTAGAAAGTAAGACCATCGCATGTGCCAAGAGTGAAGTCTCAGAGTCTGAAAAGATAATAGCTTTCTATTGCACTGGATTATATTTTTAAACATTTTAATTATAACTGGATTGCAAAAAGCTATTCTGACATACAGAAACAGGAAGGGGACAAGTCTCAATTTAGAATGATCCCCTCAAAAAAGAAAGACTAGGAAGAATAAGACTTACCTGCTTCATTTAGGGCAGTGTTGTCCAAACTTGGCCACTTTAAGATGAGTGGACTTCAACTCCCAGAATTCCCCAGCCAGCAGGGTTAAAGTGGCCAAGTTTGGACAACAGCTAAGAGGGGAGAGATCCATATGTCTTATGCCAGTTGTTTCGTTGTCCAAACTTGGCCACTTTAAGATGAGTGGACTTCAACTCCCAGAATTCCCCAGCCAGCAGGGTTAAAGTGGCCAAGTTTGGACAACACTGATTTAGGGTATCCTCAATAAATCTGAGAAAACCCTTTCATTTTAAAAGTAAATTTTTTGAATGCAGAAGGTTCAACACAATTTTATTTTTGCCATGTTTTTATAGCTAAGAGCCTCGCTATTTTTACTGCTAGAACACAATCTTTCCTGGTGGTCCAATCTAAGCATTCTTCTATTTACAAACACCTTCTCCGTTGCCCCTCCTTGCAATGCATCAATTCACTTGTCTCTAATACTTTTTGCAGCAGTGTCACAGCTTCTGACATGACAAATTCCCACCACAACTTGACACTCCAGAAACAGGCCAAGGCCCTAACCCATGTTCTCCAAGAGTAGCTGTTCCTTCCAGCATGATCTGGCCCCATTACTCAGATTTTGGGAGGACAGCTTGTTCTATGTTCCCACACTGAATTACCACTGAGGTAATATAAGATGGGGTTTTGCTGTAATGGTATTTATTTGCCACAAAAAGGCCATATCTTTGATGATTTTTTTTGTATTAATTGTTTTGTGGGGTCAGCTATTGCTGAGATTTTCCTTCATGGCACCGATGTGCTGTTTTAAATTATTTGATACCTTTTACAGTTAAATTATATCTACAGTGGTACCTTGGGATACGAACGCCTCTACTAACAAACTTTTCGGGTTACAACCAACACCGGCCACAAAAATTTACCTTGATGTGCGAACTCCGCCTCGGGGTACGGTCATTTTTCCACCCTGACACGTGGTCCGCGGCCATTTTTCCACCCCTGATACGTGGTCCGCGGCCATTTTCCCGCCCCGCCACATGGTGCCCGGCCGTTTTCCTGCCCTGCCGTGTGGCGCCCAGCTGTTTTCCCGCTGCGCGGCGCGGCACCTGGCCGTTTTCCGCGGCGCGGCGCCCGGCTGTTTTCCTGCCCCTGACGCGTGGTCCGCGGACGCCAGAACGGATTAACAGTAATTACATTGAAACTTATGGGAAAATTTGCTT